AACACCTAAAAAACATCCTCCCTACACCTTGGACCAATGCCTCTAACTACTAACATAGCCACAGATTCGGCTCAATGGCCACCAGCTTCCGAAACATTACATGGAACGAGTCATCAATCAACATCCAACAATGCTCAGACAACATCCAATCAACACATAACCCAATCCAATCCACAGACAGATACCATACAGGCAGCAATCGAATCCATGAATGATGTGCATGAGTGTGCATGGATGACAGCATATGCTGAAGGAGCCGAACAGGCATTAGCTTCCCGTAATCTCATTACCTTACCGACATCTAATACTACAGTAACAGCAATAACCAAAACTACTACCTCCACAACAACAACAACACCTCAACTACATACCTCAATCACAAATGGTCAAACACACATATCCGAATTAACTCGTCCTCAAATACTCACTACAATTGCACAACATTATGTACCTGACATTCTCTATCCGAAACCAATTCCCGGAGGTTTCACCAATCTAACTACCCTAAGAGTACCCAAGGAAGTGGAAATATTGCTAAGCTTTGGGCCTCAATACTGTCCAGTGACTCCTCCATCACTAAACGATTACATATCTGCCATATACACCTACTATGATGCACATCTAGAGGCCACCACTGATCTAAGTGTTATCTGCCGACAAGAAATGGAAAATCATGCTTCCAAATTTTTGGATGTAATGGTTAAGCACCGTCAACCAACTCCATTCCACAAGATGCTGCAACATCTCTTCCAACAAACATATAATTTTATACACCTACATGATCAGATACTAACCATACAAGCCGATAAAAGTAAATCGACCATTTTGATACATAAAAATGAATACATCAACAAAGTGGAAACATGGTTACAAGCATATCTGGCAACTGGGTCTTGCAAAGAGTATAAAGGGGACATAGGGCTATTGGTACGAAAAACTCACGCCCAATATATAAGAATATTTAGATCATTATGTCGTGTCTATAAAGGCAATAACAATCCATACCCATCTAGTATACATATGTTACTGCGGAGTCATAGCTATGATAAGCCAGCCTTACCTTATTTATATGGCACTATTAAGACACATAAACCCAATAATCCTATACGACCAATATGTAGCCAAATATGTTGGTACTCACAACCCATACAAAAATTGTGTCAACATATACTAGAGACAACCACAAAGACTCGTCTATCAAATCATAATTTGTCTGATATCAACCAACTCACCAACCATATACTACAACTAAAACACATACATGGCTACGTTCTTGTAACAATGGATATATGTGATATGTACCCGACCACCCAAATTGCATCTTTATGGTCGTTACTGGAGGACATGACCACTGAATCTTGGTTCCAAACCGCCTGTCCAATAGATATAGAAATCTTCCAACGCATGCTAAACTATATATTACAACAGTGGAACTATTTTACATTTAACGGTACAGTATACCAACAAGTTGATGGACTACCACAAGGAGGCAGCGCCTCTGGAATATTAGCTACTTTGTACCTAGATACACAAATTTCATTAAATTACAACACATTATTTTTATCCCATCATGTGCACTCATGGTGGAAGTATGTAGACGATGTATTGCTGTATATGCCTCAATCAAGTGTGCAAAGTTTTGTGGAAACTTTCCCACAATTAATAAGGTACGAAGTAACTTATGAAATAGAGAAGATCAACCCAACAGCCGGACCTTATCCAACTATAGCATATCTAGACTACAACATAGAACATACGCCTACCACCTTTCAAATTTCCATACATAGCAAACCAACTGAGTCTCAGCGAATGCTGCATTATACATCTCACACTTCTCAATCAACAAAACGCTCAGCTCTATCATCACACATACGCCGGATATAGCTTTTTTATTTACCGGTAAAGGACTATCCCATGAAATCCACCAGGATTTACTACTTGACGATACTTCACCAATGTCCATCCATAAAAATCAGTATAATCATGTGTTTTCCGATTATCCCATAACATTACCTATCATGCCAACCATATCGATGCCTATACAACTGAGCCTATACAAACACATTTATACATCACTTGGCATTGAATGGGATTCATCTTATCAATACAATTCAATACCACGGTTTTTGGCCCAGAGTTTAAATAATTATTTGGCAAAACTACCACCAAACCTACCAACTATCGGACAATCCCGCAAGCGAAAACAATAAATCAACCTCAACTCAACACTAACGCCAATATGCCACCTAATTACTTAATATGCATATTTTACACCAAACACTTTTTTAAAAAATTATGTTTAAAAATTATATTAAGAAAATTATGTTTAAAAATTATATATTTAAAATACCTATTTAACGAATTAAAATGTTATGTCAATAAGTTAAAAGT